GGCTGAAGTCTGTGGTGTAGAGGGTGAAGAGGAAGGGGGAGAGGACAGTTCCCTGTGGTGCCCCTGTGTTGCTGATTACCTTGTCAGACACACACTGTGGGAGACGTACATATTGTGGTCTTCCTGTCAGGTAATCAACAATCCAGGACACCAGAGAAGCATCCACCTGCATCGCTGCTAACTTATCACCCAGGAGGGTTGGCCTGATGGTATTGAAAGCACTAGAAAAGTCAAAAAACATGACCCTCACAGTGCTCGCCGGCTGGTCCAGATGAGGCTGATAAGCGAATTCAAGGGGATCCAGATGTGGTCTTACTATGGGTCGCAGCTGGTCCAGGATGAGCCTTTCCAGGGTCTTCATGATGTGGGAGGTCAGTGCCACGGGCCTGTAATCCTGGGGGCCACTGGGACGTGGCGTCTTTGGTACAGGGACAAGGCATGATGTCTTCCACATCACTGGTACCCTGTGATGTGGGGTACCAGCATAAACAGTTTATGAAAGACTCCACACAGCTGGGGGGCACAGGTCTTGAGGACGAGGGGACTCACTCCGTCCGGTCCAGCAGACTTGCCTGAGTGAAGTCTCCTCATTTGCATCTCAACCTGGTATTGAGTGAAGGTGATGGGTGGGGGAGGGGTGTCAGGAATCTCACAGGAGGCAACAGCGCCATGTGAAGAGAGAGGCTGGCACAGTGGTGTGGCTCTGGATTCCAGGCTGACCACAGGTGAGGTTGTGGGGGTGTGAGCAGACACTGTGGTGTTGAATCTATTGAAAAACAGATTCAACTCGTTAGCTCTATTCTCACCTCCCTCAGCTCCCCTGCTGTTGGTTGGCCTGAATCCAGTGATGGTCTTCATGTCCCTCCACACCTCTCTCATGCTGTTCTGCTGGAGTTTCAACTCCAGCTTCCTCCTGTAATTGTCCTTAGTCTCTCTGATCTTGTCCTTTAGTAACACCTGGACCTTCCTCACCTCCTCCTTATTGCCCCCTCTGAAAGCCCTCTTCTTGTTGTTGAGGAGGGCTTTGATGTCCTTAGTCATCCACGGCTTGTTATTTGGGTAACAATAAACAGTCTGAGCTGGAACAATGGAGTCGGTGCAGAAAGTTATGTAGTCTGTGATACACTCAGTAAGCCCATTGATGTCCTCGGTGTGAGGCTCACAGAGTGTTTCCCAGTTGGTCACCTCGAAACAGCCCTGTAGTTCCGCTAAGGCCTCCTCTGACCACCTCCTAACGCTCCTCGTGGTCACAGGTTCCCTCCTCACAATTGGCACATAGTGGGGGGTGAGGTGAATCAGGTTATGATCTGACCTACCAAGTGGGGGGAGGGAGGAGGAGCTGTATGCATCCTTGACATCGGCATACAGTAGGGCTGTGTCCCAATTCAGGGTCTGCACGCTTGAAGTACGCACACTACGCACACTACGCGTACTACGGACGGTGCGTACTATAAGTACGGGAAGTGCGGAAGTGAGAGGCCCGTGAAATGGGACGGTCTACCCTTTGAATTCGCGTCACCAGCTGTGCCTGGCTGTACCACCTTCCCCAATCGGCAACATGGTCACAGACCACGTCCTTGCGTGTGCCATTTCCCTGCTAATAGAATAGACCCAACAACCCACCCGTCACAGACGAATGATCCTGTTGCGACTACGGGACACCCACATGCAGGTACAGTGATAAATACATGGCGACATTCCTCCCCCCTGAGATATATGACGTGTGTACCTGTGTACTAGCGTAACACCCTGATATATGCGACTGTAGATGTGAGTCCCAAATAGGACTGTGTGCGCCCGCAGCCAGCACACATGTGCAGGTACACTGGTACAGTACATGCGAGTGAAATTCCTGTGTGCGAGCTTCACAAGCCACAGAGGTGTGCAAAAATACAATAACATAAAACAAGCAAAATATAAGAGTGGCTAAATCTGAGAGGAATAAATATATGTACAATATAAGAGTGTATGCATTACTGGATGTGTATACAAAATAGGTATGCCGTGTGTGTGTGTGTGTGTGTGTGTGTGTGTACATATGTTACAAATTAAATACAGTAAACAACAAAATAAAATAGACAAAATATACAGAGGTTGGTAGTTGGGTCACCACAAGGACAGTGTCCACTGCCTGCGAAAATAAGAACAGCAACAATCAGAATAATAACCAGAATAAAAGAATGTCTGTCATGTCCTGTATTTACTTTCACCAGACCAGACCCCTGTACTGCAGGATTAACCTGAGTGTCCCAGTCCTGGACAGAT